ACTAGCGAATTTTCCCAGTGCTTGAGAATATTTGCAAACGTTGCACACTTCCTCCCAGCTGCCCCAATTTTGCTCCATTCATGTCATTCTGTTTGTGTAGCTGGTGCTGTCAACACTCAATTTCTAACTGTTGTCACCTTTTCCACATGTTCATTCCTTGCTGCCATTGACTCTCCTCCATTCCATCCCTACACTTCTGCTTCTATGGTGCATCTACACCCAGCCTCCTAAAAAGCCTCTGGACTATGTTCAAGATCATTCTTCTGGTGTTTTCAATGAGGTAAAAACACGTTATTCTCTCTTTTTCAGATATCTCCTTTAGAGGCTGTGACTGTGGTTCCGCACATCTGTGTTTTACAATTCTCTGTAATGTCTAAGCTATTTTTGAAAAAAAAAAAATCTATCTTTGCATCATTATGTTGCATTCAGTATCATTGCCTGGACATTAATTATACCAGAGTTGTTGGCTATACCTGGACTCTGGGTGAAGAATCATTCCAACCACAACTGCTAGTTATACTATCCTATGTAGTTCTGGTATTCAGCAGTGTGAAAATAAAAAATCAAAAGTATTAGTCTTAGTGCATATATTAACCACCTGTTTTTATTAGACAGAGTAAAATACTACTAGAAGACTTCTTAGAACCATTCTATTATAATGCTTGGAGTGTGGATAATCAGATGCCTATGTCCCACATATTTCTAAAATTTATTGTTATTCTTTCATTTTTCTAAATACAACTTCTAGATTGTATTATCAGTCAAGAATAGGGCTGGCAAATACCTGGAAATTGTGTATCACAACTTCCCAGTTTCATACCCATGACAGACATTATTACTCCTTCTCAACACTGTGATCCAGGAAGCCACTATAACAAATTATCACTGGCATATAAAATGAAATGCATTTGCAATCTCTACTTAAGAGCCTATAATAATCAACTAGGTGAAAAATTTATGGCAGCCAATGTACATTTTTATTTGAATCAGAGTGTTATTTGAAAAAGAGCATGAAATAGGCAGAAATGATCCAGAGTCAAAAGCTTGTTACCCTGCTGTCTGCGAAGACAAGCAGAAAATTACTTTAGGAAGTAGACAAATGACTCATTAGAAGACATAAGCAGAAATGGTACTGTTTTGGTAGCCATCAGCTATATAAAAGCCTCCTTGCAAGGAACTCTTAGAAGCAACTAGCATGGGAACAAAGTAAATAAACTGTTTTTTGCACAGTAGTTGCTCTGTGGTCTTAAGTGAATACTATAACACAATAAATATCTTATTTTCATTAAAAGTCTTAAATATGTGCAACTGGAAAACAAAACTAGTAGAACATTTATGTTGTAGGAGGTACTACTGACACATAGTGGTGACCACTGGAATTGCAGGTATAGCGTCTCAAGGAAATATGCAAATTTCTAGAGTCTCAATTTGCAATTTCAAATTATTTACGCTGTGGTAAACATCAGAGTGTGTGTTAAAACTGAGAAGTGATCAAAATATTTATATATTAAATAAAAAGTAAAATAGAGTAATCAGGAACATTCTGGGTTATTTAATTCAGCCATTTCTAAAGGCTTACATTTTATAGCCAGGCAGGCAGGCAAGTAATCTGAAGAAAATCAAATAAAACAAGGGGTTATATTCTGTATGTTATGTTACCTTAATATCTGCAGAAAAAGTCTCATTTCAACATATGAGCAACCCAAGAATTTATTTTGAAATTCAATGTGGTCAGATATTTTTCTCAGATATTTCTAGGGTGTTTTTAAGGTAGTTGGTTCATAAATAACTGAAATGGAATTTAGAGTGCATCATGTCCAACTCACTCATTTTTCAGTTAAAAAAAAATTAGAGTGCAATAATTTTAAGAAGTAAGTCCAAAATCACATGGTAAGATAGTGGCGGGAAAACATATATATATCTCTTAACCTTCATTTCAGTGCTATTTCCTGTATATCACACTTTTCAGCACTTCCAAGATATATATTTAGAGGATAAATCTTTTAAAAACAAATTACTTAGTTAGTATTATTTCTTGTTAACTATTGAATTTCTTTGAAAAGACTTCTGATAATTAATATTACACAATAATTCTTGGGCATAGAAATAGTAGAAACTTAATTCTCTGCATTCTATCATGTGATGGTAGTGGCAAAAAAAAAACACACAAAAAGCACTTTTCCAGTAGTTGACCTATTTGCCAGTTATCTCTGGGATTGAGAGGGAGTGTTGTATGATTCTAATAGCATATGTTAACTATGTTATTAATTTCACATTATAGTTTTTCAGAATGTAAGAAAATATATTCTCTTAAGGTTCTGGATTTTTAATAACCTTTTGTTATTAAACATTGCTGGTTAAAAAATGTAATTGATTAGACATTACCTTAGCTACCATTTATCAACTGCCTGGTATATTACCATGAATAACATAGCTTTTAATCCATAACTGGAAAACTGGCATTAATGAAGAACAGTTACAGATATTTAAGCAAAATTTAATCTAATAGTTACTTAACAGAAAGAGTGATTCAGTATCTGTACTTCTCTAAATTGACCTTCTAAGTGTGTTAAAATAATGGTAATATGTAAATACTCAGTAGATCATAACTGGTAAAATTTGTAACCTCTTTTCTGGAGACAATTTTCATTTTGGGATGAGTACCCTTCTTACAATTATTGTACAAGTTTTTCTCTCAGTCATCAATCTAGATTTTTTACCATTGTCTTATAATTTAATACTGAACTTTCTCTGAGTGTACATGAAACCACAAAACTGGTTTTAGTTTATTTTGAATGTAAAAACTAGTACAAAGAGAAATGGTAGTTTCTTAGCCTAACTCTGAAACACAATGAGTTCTTATACTACGTTTTATTTCACATTACAATGTTGTTTAGGCTCATTATAAGTTGACAGTTCAAGTTTTCTGATCAGGGTCAGGGTGTTCTCAGAGTGTTCTGAACCTGACACTTTTTGCTCATTAGCTGTGTGTAAGTGTGTCCCTTGAAAACCATGCTCTGCACAGACGCCAATGCTCTCAGGCTTGTTGGTGTTGCTCTTGTACAAACAAGTAGAATTAATATTTCCTAATGGTAATACAACTATCTGATTTTATTTTTTTACTTGTTTGCTTTCTTTCATATTTAGTATCTATTTTTCTACCTTCCCAGTGTCTGATTCAGAGCTCAGCAAATTAAGATAATCATGTAAACATATTAGATTGGCAAACCAAACTTTTCTCCTAATTTTATATTTGTTGAGAACCTAGGAATCTAAATATTTTCTAGGAACTAAAAATATTAGAATCCACTTTTTCTGTCTGAAAGGAGGATGGGAATATTCTCATGCAGAGATGCGTTTGTTTCTAGGCAAGATTCCATTTTCATTTAGTAAGATAGAATTAAATTAAAATATTAGTTAATAGAAGCATAAGTTATGCAAAAGGGACCTTGTAAGACTGATATTCATATAGAATTGCAAAACTATACACTAATGTTTTAATTGATTAATTGGTGCCAATTTACCAATTAATAGAAAACTGAGTTATAGAAATAGTTTGTAAAGTGAGATTTGATTTCCACTAAGTAGATTTTTAGTACTTGATAAAATGTTTCTAGATGATAACAACTTAAGACAACATTTGTCAAATCTTGCCTTTCTGGCTGACATTTTTAAGCTTTCATAGACAAATGTTTTTAAACTAGAATTCCAGTTCTTCAGCAAACCAAATTTTATCTGTGATGAATTGATCATCAAACATGACCAAAGCCAAAACTATCTACACTTGGCATACATCTCCCTATACTTCCTTTGTACTTTTGTTTTGTTTTGTTTTTTGTTTTTGTTTTTGTTTTTTTTGAGACGGGGTTTCACTCTCATTGCCCAGGCTGGAGTGCAGTGGCGCGATCTCGACTCACTGCAACCTCCGCCTCCCAGATTCAAGCAATTCTCTTGCCGCTGCCTCTTGAGTAGCTGGGATTACAGGAATGTGTCACCACAGCTGGCTCACTTTTTGTATTTAGTAGAGACAGGGTTTCACCATGTTGGTCAGGCTGGTCTTGAACTCCTGACCACAGATGATCCACCCGCGTTGACCTCCCAAAGTGCTGGGATTACAGGCATGAGCCACCACGCCCAGCCATCTCCCTATACTTTCTGGACATCATACCACAGTGTCACCTCAAACACTTGATAGCTAAAATATCTTGCCTTTTAGATATTTTAGCAATTATCCCAGTAGATGCCACGGAAAATAAAAAATTAATATTATCAGTTTTGCTTACTATCTATTTCAGTGTATTATTCAGAATGAAGGAAAAATTTTAAAGTGCACTTTTAAAAAGTCGTATTTTGATTCTTTAGCTCATTTATTTTAAACTAACCCTGAACTTGCCGAATTGTAAAAGTGTGACTGTTTACCTGATTGAAGTACCAGGTACTTTAGTTTCTTCAAGTCAAACTCCATGGGTTTTATTTAAATGTCGTGTCTATGTTGACAGATGAATGCTGTCTTAAGTTCTGTTTATGTGTTACATTTTGAAGACAATACTTCATAACAACAATAACAAAGACTTTAAAATAAGGATTGAATGATGGCTGCAAATTTTTTTAAACATCAAACCATTCCTTTCTATAGGAAATTTCTATTTACAGTCAACAGGTAAGATTCTGAAGTTGAGGTTGTAGAATAACTTTAGCTCTTATTTCAGTGTTCCTGAGAAAATATTATTAATTTCCCCATGCAATGCTTGGGTTGCGGATAATTTGAGCTACACAGAGAACTACAGTGCATTATATCAGAAAAGAAAGCAGATAGGTCCAAAGTAGAAATCAGGTTGCATGGTGTCTCTTTGGGAAGACATTTTTACAGTCATAATGAATAGTACTTTCAACCTCAATTTTTATAATATTCTTTTTAGGATACCTAATTTAATGTTGAAAAGTGAACAAAATTCTGCCACGGTAAAATTTTTCATGGGACTGTTATTCTATCTTAACAGGCCTCCTTGTATCAGTCGTCTGTAGACAGAAGCCTGGAAAGACCCATGAGGTAAGAATCTCATTATGTTGTAGCAGAATATTCTATAACAGTGGTTTCTTTTTCAACAATAAAATTATTCAGTGAAGTAGTAGTGAGTATTATGTATCACTCATTTTTATTTGAAGTACCATGCCTCATGAAGTCGTTTTATTTTGTTTCAGCATCATTTTATATGATCATTTCAAGAATTTCCAAAAAATTAATGAACTAATTATAAATTCCTTCATAGACCGAGATATCCTTCTCTTCCCTTACTCCCCTATACCCAGTTTTCTTTTCTTTAGATGGGAATTGTAAGTAACTAATTTTCAATGTTGTTAAGTGGCCCTTATAATAATATGTTTGAAAAAAATTATAGATTAAAAATTGTTTTACGCATATTTGTTGATTATACTCTGACCACACAAATCAGAAATGCTTTTATTAATACTACCAATAAATGAGGCATAAGAACAAAACATATTCAATCCTAAGGCAACACTATGGTTAAATACTAGTGTCCCCACTTTATCTCTGAGGAAGGTGACACCTAGGCTCAGTAACTTACTGAATTTACACAGTTGGCAAGGAGAGAGAAAAAAAAGAAATTGAGGCAAGATAAGTTGTCACCACTAGGCCTAACTTCCCTCAGAGTTTGCCTGAGGTAAGTTCTGTTAGCTTTAAATATCACACTTTCTTTAAAATATTACAAAATTCATGGCCAGGCACGATGGCCCATGCCTGTAATCCCAGCACTTGGGAGGCCGAGGCGGGCAGATCACGAGGTCAAGAAATCGAGACCATCCTGGCCAACAGGGTGAAACTCCATCAGTACTAAAACTACAAAAATTAGCTGGACATGGTGGCGGGCGCCTATAGTCCCAGCTACTCGGGAGGCTGAGGCAGAAGAATCGCTTGAGCTGGGGAGGCAGAGGTTTCAGTGAGTTGAGATCTCACCACTGCACTCCAGCCTCGGGACACAGAAAGACTCAGTCTCAAAAAAAAAAAAAAAAAAATCACAAAATTCAGACATACTCAGACATAGTTCAATAGTAATATTGAATAATACAAACTCCCAGCCCTATTGTAACATCAATAACAAATATTTATGTAGTAGCATTAATTTACCCTTCTATGTAGATTTCTTTGTGAATTGGGTCAATCATAAATTGGGTTTCTGAGTGCCAACCAACTACAATAACATCCCTGAGAAAGGAACTCTCGAACCCTCCTTTTTATCTTGTGCCTCTATCTATGCACCTAAAACATCTGAATTTTAGAGTTTTAATCTAATCTAAAGATTGCCATAAAGACACACAGACCCTCACATGACAGGACAATCACAGCAAAAACAGGTCTAGGAGATGCAGCATCCTCTTCAGAAGAGGACGAACCAGTTCTGAGGTCTGCCTCTCAGCTTCCGTACATCCCAGGCACATGTATTGGCTTTACCATTTTGTAACACTGAGATAACAGCACATATCTCATAGGTTTGCTGTGTGGGCTAAATAAGACAAAAATGTAAATAAAGCACATAGCATTCTGCTGGGCTCCCTGGGAGCTGGGATTGCTGCTGTTGCTGTTACCACTGTTGTCTACACAATTCTTGTCTAAGAATCCAGGGATTTCACGCACAGTATGCCGTGCCATGTGTGGCTTCATTCATTAACATTTGTCTTAAATGTACTGTACTCAAACTCAAAACCATGACACAAACTCCCTGCTAGTCTAGACTATTGACAGTATTTTATGCAAATGAGAGGAAGGAATCTTTAATAGTTAATTTGCTGACCAGGTAACTGATACTATTGATTGATTGACGGATGAGACAGGGTCTTGCTCTGTTGCCAGGCTGGAGTGCAGTGGTGCAATCATGGCTCACTGCAGCCTCAAACTCCTGGGCTCAAGCTATCCTCCCATCTTAGCCTCCTGAATAGCTGGAACTACAGGCACATGGCACAACTGGCTAACTTTTCTTTTCTGTAGAGACAGGGTCTCACTAGTTGTCCAGGCTGGTCTCAAACTCCTGACCTTGAGCCATCCTCCAGCCTTGACCTCCCAAAGTACTTGATTACAGACATGAACCATAATGCTCAGCCTTCATTCATTACTTAAATAGAAAATGTTGGAATTCCAATACAACGTCTTCTAGAGCTAAGATGATAGGACAAGCTGCAGGCAACCCTTGAGGTGAGAGAAATTTGCCTCTCTTGATGCCTTTTTTTTTTTTTTTTTCAGTTCTTTCCTGTATTTGGTATGCCACTCTGGGTATATTCATGTTATTGGAACTCTGCTTTATAGAGAAAAGATATAAGATACAAATTACAGCACTGAATTCTCAATCACAACATATTTCACTATAGGAGAATTTTGACCTCAAAGATGTTTAAAAACTTACGTTCACACAAAAACCAGCAGGTGGTTTTCTTAGGAGCGTTATTTATAATTGCTAGAACTTGGAAGCAACCAAGATGTTCTTCAATAGGTGAATGGATAAATAAACTCTAGCACATCTGTGGAATAGAATGTGGCTCAGCAACACAAAGAAATGAGTTATCAAGTGACAAAAAGCACATGGAGAAACCTTAAAAGTATATTACTGAGTGAAGGAAGCCAATCCGAGAGGCCACATCCTGCATGATATCAACTGGGCATGGTGAAAAGGCAAAACTGTGGAGGCCGTGGAAAGATCAATGGGTGCCAGGATGAACGGGAGGAAGGGAGGGATGAAAAGCTGGAGAACAGAAACTTTTTACGGCAGTGAAACTATTTTATATGATTGACACATTAGTGATGGACACACATCATTATACATTTCTCAAAACCCATAAAATGTTTAAGACAAAACACGAACTCAAATGTAAGCTATGGACTTGGGGTGAAGATGCATCAAGGTAGATCCATCAATTGTAACAATGTACCCCACTAAAAGAATATGTAAATGACAAGGGAAACTGTACAAGAGGAAAGGGACTACAAGGAAACTCTCTACACTTTCCAATCATCATTTCTGCAAGCCTAAAACTGCTCTAAAAAAATTAAGTCGGCCGGGCACAGTGGTTCATGTCTGTAATCCCAACACTTCAGGGGACTGAGGATGGAGGATCACTTGAGCTCAGGGGTTTGAGACTCTGTCTCAACCCAGCCTGGGCAACATAGTAAGACTCTGTCTCTATGTAAATAAAAATTTAAATAATTAGCCAGATGTGGTGGCACACGCCTGTGGTCCCAGCTACTCAGGAGGTTGAGGCAGGAGTATCCCTTGAGCCCAGGAGTTTGGGGTTGCAATGAGCTGTGATTGCACCACTGCACCTCCAGCCTGGGTGACGGAGCCAGAAGTCGTCTCAAAATAAATAAATAATAAAGTCTATTCATTTTTAAAAGGATCCTTCTAGAGAAATCATGTTGAACATCGAGGGATGGGTTCCTAGCCATGCAGTTTTGGGGATAGAAGTTCAGGAGTCACTAGCACGTTCCACTGGTTTTTCTGGTGCACACCTTAACCTCCTCCAGTGCCAGTCAAACAGATCTGATTCCTTCTTTCAGTTCTGCAAGCATGGCCAGTGACTTCAGGAAGCGGAGGAAGAGCGAGCCTGCAGTGGGTCCACCACGGGGCTTGGGAGATCAAAGTGTGAGCAGGACTAGCCCAGGCCGAGCGGACCTCCCAGGATCAAGCACCACCCTTACAAAGTCTTTCACTAGCTCTTCTCCTTCTTCCCCATCGAGAGCAAAAGGTGAGCAAGAGTAAATAAAAACACAACAATTTACTAGTTTACATTTTAGCCTAGAGCACTATGTGAAAGCTGGCCCAGTGATAGTGGCACGTGCCAGCTCCCACGTAGTGTCTGGAATAAAATACAGTTTTAGAACAATAGCTTTCTTCCCACCCAGACTGACTCAAGCTGGCGAGCCACTTAGGTTGCTTCAAGAACTCTGACTAGCATCTGCTAACGCTATTTTCCCCCCAAATAGATCCCTTTCTAAACAAATTCAAAGTATCAAATATGTATCATCAGGCTACTAAAAGATGTCATTTGTAAACATTGAGGTATAGTCAAAATTTTCTAATGTTTCTGCAACTAGCAAATCAGTCAAATTTATAGGATAGAAATTACAAGCAGCAACAGAGGAAATTGTTACCTAAAAAATACATTGGTTTGGAGGTTTTAAAAAGTTATTCAATTCTAGATTTAAAAACAAAATTCGACCTATTAATTTCTTTAGCCATTTGCTGTATATTTTGGGCCACCTTCGTATGAACAGTGGAGCATCCACGTCCTGCCAGGTAACATAGTGGTCAATTCACAGCAGTTCACAGTCAGGACTGATGGGTCCCGGACCATAATTACGTCATTCAGGAATCACCAAGCCTTTTTTCTGGGTGGCCTGTCTCCTCACTGCAGGTGCAGGGAGCTCAGTGTTGAAAGGAGTAAGTCACTCCCTCTGGTTTCTCCTTAAGGACAGGAATATTTCTGAGATGGAGAGTGAGGATTGAACCAGCACCCACAGAGAACTAGGGCTCTACCAAATATGGGACCACACAATCTCTTCTAATATCTCAGGATCGAAACAGAAGAGAAAGAGATTTTGAAATGTGTGAAGAAATTGAGCTCTAACATAAGTTTCTATAAAACTAGACCGATTCAGCTACACCTATCAACTATACTCACTAAAACCATTGCCACATGATAGTTAAAAGTGATAGCTGATTTGTGTGCAAAAGATATTCTGGTTGTGATGATTGGACTCTGAGTAGGTGGAGGCCTAGCCCTTTTAAGGCCTGGTAAAGCTGTGATATCAGCTGATGGTTCAGGGCATACGAGCTCCATCCATCCTCCTTTCCTCTGAGGAGCAGAGATGCCTTATCAGATCCAACTCACTTATTCCAATGAATATCTTAAGGTAATAAGTAAGTCATGCAATGCCATTGACTCATTATTATTGTATACTACCCAAAAGTTAAAAAGATTCTGATAAATGTAGATATTTGTTTTATCACAGGGAGTGTTAAATCAACTTCCTTTCCCAGGCAGTACATATCTACCTAATGTGCTCACCTACTTTTAAAGAATTTAGAGAACATTGTAAAGTATGCATATTGAATAGAGATATTTTTCTCCATTAGATTTTATTTCTAAGAAGAAAGTGTCCTATTAGATATAATTTGGCTTCTCATTTATTTGTTAACTCAGCAAAACAAAAGAACATTTCCATAGCTATTCAAAATTGAATCCAAGTGTATATCTCTATTATCAAATTGCAAATATTTTTTTAAAAACTCTTCCCAGAAAAAAAGCATGATATATGCGCCTCTGACAAAAGCTTTGCATTATATTCAGTTTTCCTATGAGAACTATGTACCTAATAAGAGGTTAAAGGTAGAGCAATTTAAGAGGTAAATTAGTTAGCTTAAAGAGCTTTAGCTATTTTTTTTTCTTGGAAAAATGTCAGCAGCAATAGTTCACAGCATTTTGATTTTGCAATTTTGGAGAATACTTTGTCTTATAGCTTTTAAAATCCAAAACCCATAAAAAATTATTTGATATAGTCCTGAGAGTATTAATTAGATGTAAATGTGTAAACCCCTCTCTACCTATGTATCATTACGAATCAAATGAGACTCAAATTCCGGCCCTATGAAATTGATTAAGTGTATAACACTTTTGACACTAACTGTTAAACCTTTACTACCAGATCATGCTATCAGCTGAAGAGGCACTATTGTGTTTTGGCAAACAGTATTGTCAGAAAGGTGTATGAATTATGCAATAGAAGTAGGCGTATTTGCTTCCATCAGTTACTTCTTAGGCATAGTTTTGCCAACTCTCTCTGCAAAGCTACATTCATTGAAAAAGTATTAGCTCGCTTTAGAATTAGACCTTTTTCTCTAGAGCTGAAGCTCCACGCGTTAACAATCAGCCTCTAGACTAAAACACACTAACTGCTTTCCCCTTGCTGTGCTGTCTGATGCTTACTGACATGCTCTCCTCTCTTTGTGAACCTTTTAACTTCTCCAAATGTCTCTCTTCTACCACGCTGCTCTGGATTAAAAGGTGGGGATGATAGCAAAATGTGTCCATCCCTTTGCAGTTACTCAGGGCTCAACGGCAACCCCTCCAGTGAGTTAGATTACTGTAGCACTTATAGACAGCACTTAGACGTCCCTCGGGACTCCCCAAGGGCCATCAGTTTCAAGAACGGCTGGCAAATGGCCCGGCAAAACGCAGAAATCTGGAGCAGCACAGAAGAAACCGTTTCTCCCAAAATGAAATCCCGGAGCTGTGACGATCTCCTAAATGATGACTGCGAGAGCTTCCCGGACCCGAAAATCAAGTCAGAAAGTATGGGCTCCCTGTTGTGTGACGAGGACTCCAAAGACAGCTGCCGCAGAGCCTGGGGGTCGCCCTACATCCAGGAGGTCCGCAGCGCTGGCAGGTCGAGGATCAGACACCGGTCAGCCCACAACGCCCCGGGGTTCCTAAAGATGTACAAGAAGATGCACCGCATTAACCGCAAGGACCTGATGAATTCCGAGGTCATCTGCTCCGTGAAGTCCAGGATACTGCAGTACGAGAGCGAGCAGCAGCACAAGGGCCTGCTGCAGGCCTGGAGCCAGTCCTCCACGGAGGAGGTGCCCCGGGACATGGTGCCCACGCGCATTTCCGAATTCGAAAAGCTGATTCAGAAGTCCAAATCCATGCCCAATTTAGGGGATGACATGCTATCTCCCGTCACCCTAGAACCACCACAAAACGGCTTATGTCCCAAGAGGCGATTCTCCATTGAGTATTTGCTGGAGGAAGAAAATCAGAGTGGACACCCCTCTCAGGGCCAACGAGGCTGCACGTCTAACGCCCTGGTGCCCATTCACATTGAAGTCACCAGCCATGAGCAGCCCAGAGCTCACGTGGAGTTTTCCGACAGCGACCAGGATGGGGTTGTGTCTGACCACAGTGACTACATTCACGTAGAGGGGTCATCCTTCTGCAGTGAAAGTGACTTTGATCACTTTTCCTTCACATCCTCGGAAAGCTTTTATGGATCCAGCCACCACCACCACCACCATCACCACCACCACCACCGCCACCTCATCAGCTCCTGCAAAGGCAGATGCCCGGCCTCCTACACGCGATTTACCACGATGTTGAAACACGAAAGAGCCAGACACGAAAACCCCGGGGAGCCCAGAAGGCAAGAAATGGACCCTGGCCTTTCTAAACTGGCTTTTCTAGTCAGCCCTGTGCCTTTCCGCAGGAAAAGAAACTCAGCCCCCAAGAAACAGACTGAAAAGGCAACATGTAAAGCCTCTGTGTTTGAGGCTCTGGACTCTGCCCTTAAAGACATCTGTGACCAAATTAAAGCTGAAAAGAAAAGGGGGAGCTTGCCAGACAACAGCATCTTGCACCGTCTCATCAGTGAGCTGCTGCCAGATGTTCCCGAGAGGAACTCGTCCCTGAGGGCGCTGAGGAGGAGCCCCCTGCACCAGCCTGTCCACCCACTGCCTCAAGATGGTGCTATTCATTGTCCACCCTACCAGAATGATTGCGGGAGAATGCCTCACAGTGCCTCTTTCCAAGATGTGGACACAGCCAACAACTACCACCACCACCAGGACCGTGGCGGTGCACTCCAAGGTGGATGAGCTTTTCTTTCTTTTTCCTTGTGGTTCAGAGACCCACCCTCCAGCTCTTTCATTGTCCATTCCAACATCTCATCACTCCTGAGCTGGGAGACCATTTGGCGTCGTTATGTGTTGTGAAGCAAAAACTTGTTGTGCAAATATGTGTTACTGAATATTGCTCATTTGCCCATATGATATTTGGACTTGATGTGTGGCTTAAAGTGATCATCAATTCACAAAAATTTACTCTTTCAAAAACGAGAGGGAAGGCCATTGTGTAGCTCAGGATTAGGGTTGAAGCAACCATTACTCACACTGAGATGATACATTACGTTGTGACATGAATCAAAACCTATAGTTCCACAAATAGCCTTTTAAAAATGTGTATATTAACTTTAAAACTTTATATTCATTCTGTTCATAAATAATTTGCTCACATTCTATATAGAAGATACTATATCAAAACATTCAAGAAGCAAAACTGAAAGATGTTATCAGTAATTGATGGACACAAAGAAATTAGGACTTGCTTAATAGCTTTCTCCATTTCAAGGACACAATTGTGATAAAATTTTTGTGAATGTATCTTTAAGCTGTATATATAAAAGTCCCATTTCCACCATTTAGTGTATTCATTTTCTCTTTTCCATTACTTAATTCATTCACTTTCTCTTTCTGCTAAAACAGTCCTGTATTGAAATTTGAATTATGTTATTCAGGCTAAAAGTGATTCTAAACTCTGTTTTCATAGATAACTTTGAAGTGGCAACACAAGAATAAACAGCAGTTGAAAGGCAGAGGACTATTTTTGAGATTTATATAACTTATAGCCCAGAGTGTTTTAATATTTGTGACCAATTCTTTTTGTTAATTCTTAGAGCGCATCTGTTCACTACATAAATTTTAAGAGGCTGGAATGAACATTCTGGGCTGAAAGTTGGTCAATAGAGAAACTTCTATGCACCAGACACTACAGAGTGCTTTATATACATTATCTAATCAAAACTGGCCTAGGCCTATGAAATGGGTGTTGTTTTAAGAGCCATTTTCAATTCTCAAAGTTGGGCCTGGAGAGGATAAGACATTTTTCCGAGGTCACACAGAGAGTAGGTAACAGAAAAGGGATTCAAACTCCTAATAATTCAGAATTTAGAGTATAAAATATAATCTCAGACAAAGAAAGACACAATTCACAGTTCGTATTAGTGTCAAATATGACTCGATCGTTAATCAACTTGCACAAATCTACTTAGTATTTATCTTCTTTGCTTTCACTGATGCTGTACCATATACTTATATTTATCTTTGCTTACCCTTAGACTGAAGCAACATGCTTCAAAATCATCAATTAAGAGTTTTAAAAATCAATTTCTACAATCGAAAATTTTCACTAATTGAAATGTGTCAGGATCCAATTTTTTAATAAATTAGCTACCTTCTCCAGGTTTTTAATATCCTAATATAATCATGTCTCAATTTTATGTGCAGATAAGAGCACATTTTTGAAACATGACTTGAAAGGGCTTTGAAATGCATTTAAAAGTATTTTGTTTTTCAATAAAATATTTACTTTTCAATTGTGTTTCACCCAAGTGAAAAATAGCTTATATTCCATGGGGTAGAAAAAGGAATTTAAAATTTGTGATCATTATCAGGCCCTCTGATCATAAAAGTATATTAACTTAGAATTTATATCATCAAAGTAGTCAAGACCCTAAAACAATGTTTTCTTATTATGAATCAGCACTTTAAATTCCTTCATAGATGGATAAAATAAATTTTATTTTTAATGCTTCTTGTCAGTCTGGATAACTAGATTTACTAAAGGGATAAAAGAAAGAATTGACAAATATTGACCCAGTTATACTGATAAAATTCTATGACATAGACTGCTGGAATAGTTTTAATGTCTACTTACATCTCCATATGTAAGTCACGTAAATGCAAAAGGTATAAGATACTATTAAGAACGACATGCAATCATAATTTTGTAATGTGATTATTTGTGCTTTGCTTTAAGAATGAATTCAATATTTCAATTCAAATTCAAAATGAATTTCAATTCAAATTCAATTTCAAAATGAATTTCAATTCAAATTCAAAATGAATTCAATATTTCATAAGCAATTTGGCAACTGACATGATGCTTTCTGTTTATCCCTTTTTTGCTTGCAGTAAGAAGAAACAATATTTCTGTTTCTTTGCTTTCTGATAAGGTGTTTATCATCTGGGCACAAAGAAGGCCGGAGATAAACAGTATGGCATCTTAAGATTCAATAAGTATTTAAAAACAGAGTAAGAAAGAAGAGGGGAGAGTAAGGTGAAAGGAGAATGTTCATCCACACTCTTGTCATCCTCATATTTTCTTTGGTTTTATCTCTTTTTTTTCATCACTACTGTCTTAAATTATTCCACAAAATGTTTCTTTCTCTACAATTTGTTTCTGTTTTCAAATTCTCCATCCTCTATAAGTCTTATAATAATAATTATAAATTAGAGGCAAAGGCATAGAAACGGAAAGTTTTGAAAAATTTTTATATGAAAAATCCCTCTAATTGTAAATTGTCTATAGTGGGTGTGGCAATATAATTAATCAGCAATGTAGCTATTATATTTATATAGACACTTATAATACTTCTGCAACCTCAGATATTTTTCCTTTTGAAATGCTCTTGTTTTGTGTCTTATTTCACAATTTTGTAATGACCTATGAGTTTTATACCCATGTGTTTGACAATGGTGTCTCTCCAAATTTGGGGAAAAAATAGTTGCCACCAGGGAAAATGGCAGAACAAGTTGACTTGTAATTAAGTGGATACTCACTGTGGCTGGCCCTGTTCTTTCCAATAGACCGTGAGTCCCCTAGAAGTTACTCATCCACTTTGACTGACACAGGGAGAAGTACACCAAGGGAAAGAAGAGGAACTCCAGAAAAAGAGGTAGTTAATTTAATAGCATTGGAGTCTTTTACAGCAACCCACTTGATAGGGCACTTGTCAGCCAAACATTATCCCAAACCAGTAAAGAACTCGACAGAAAACGTGAAAATACTGAGAAACTAGAAACAATTTTCCTTGGAGTCCAAGCATAGCAACTCTGACCCTCGAAGCAGTCTGCGCCCTGACCCTAGCTCTGGGTCTTCCCTAGTGGTGGTCCGGTTTTGGCCATGAGGCCTCTCCGAGTCTTGATCTGATGCCCATGAATTTAACCGTTGTGACCTAAAAGTGTCCTGAGTTAGGGCACCTTGTGGCAGGAATGGGTTTCCTCTGTACAATTTCTTGGCCCACTGGTCTAGGAGAAAGCCTGATGTCAACTGTGTTGTAAATCAATACAGAGCCTACATAAATAATTTTTGCTGGCTTACTTTTATTGGAGAGGATCCCTTAAAAAAGCTTTTAACCAGCCCAGTTCTTGGGACACTGCCCCTGGGAGCTACCCACCACTGAACTCTGTCCAGGGCCCTGAGCCGGGGCTAGAGCTCTTGCTCAAACTGCCTTGGAGCCGTGAGGGCTGGATGGAAACGAAAAGCTGGACTAGGACTGGCATCCGCTCCAGAGGATCTTACAGGCATCTGATGCAGTCCAGAGCCTGTGAGATCCCCAAAGAAGGTAGAAATGATCCAGGATTCCTAAAGTTCACCAGAGTCATGGGGAAAAGGAATGGAGTGAAGGGATTGTTGGTTGGTGGGGAAGGAAGAGCTGCCCTAGCTAGCTATAGGGTACGGGGTGCCTCAGGGAGATTTGTGGGCCCCAAAGTTTGAGAATGGGTACATGTTACATTACATCACCACTAAAAGACAAGTGGCTGGTGGACAGAGTGTTGAAGGGTTCCTGAACCCTCTACGGAATGCAAGATGATCACACCTATACTTTTGCCTGGTAACTAGCCTCCTAGTGATAATTGAGCTAATATTTTTGCTAATATGTTAATAAGAGTCTAATAAAGGGAATGATGACTTCTTTTATGACATCTGGTCCTTTTATTATGATTCAGAAAAAGCTGTGTCAATCTCCATAGAACATAGAGCCATTGACCCTCCACATTTATCCTGGGAAAAGCCTTTGTAACAGCCAAAATGATGCCTAGGATGCAATCCTCAGCAGGCATTCTATTCTCTCATTATAACATTAATCTCCCTTACTTCCTAAGATAAAATGTGATGGTGGATAAGCCTTCTATTATATTCCTGTTATAGCTTAAATATATAAATGAAGAATAAATGGACTTATTTGTAAATTAAATACAGGATTGACATTACATATGTTTATCATTCCCTGAGGTTTCCTTTTTCTTTAAGGCACATGAAACTACTTTCTTGTAGAAAATTCAAATTTTAAATTAGTGCTAATTGCTTATCTTCCTTTTCAGAAATTGCCTGCAAAAGCTGTTTATGATTTTAAGGCTCAGACATCTAAGTAAGTAAGATAAATACTCATCATATGATTTAAGGTGGTTTTAAATGTTAATAATGCTTTAAGAAATAAGCATTGCAACGGGATGTGTTACAAATGAGGTCTAATTCCCAATGCAGCAATCTACTCTAATTAAATGGTTCCTTCAGAATTACTTGGGATAGGGTCATTTTATTTTTATTTTAAGTTTAGTTGAGAAATACTGAGTTTTAAATTACTTTAAACATGTTAGGTGGAACACAATGAGTTCTAAGGAAAGGAAAAACAGAAAGAAATTACGAATATTTGTTTTTAGAATTTTTGCATCAATAATGAATTAATAAAGTATTGGGGACCAGGCACAGTAGCTCATGCCTGTAATCCCAGCACTTTGGGAGGCCAAGGCAGGCAGATAACTTGAGCCCAGGAGTTCAAAACAGCCTGGCAACATGGCAAAACCACGTCTCTACAAAAAATACAAAAATTAGCCAGGCACTGGGGCATGCACCTGTATAGTCCCAGCTACTCCGGAGGCTGAGACGAAAGGATTGCTTCAGCCCTGGAGGTAGACGTTGCGGTAAGCTGAGGTTGTGCCATTGCAGTCCAGCCTAGGCAACAGAGCAGGACCCTGTCTCAAAAAAAGAACGAATAAGTAAATAAATAAAGTATTGGGGAGTAATTAACACTAGCTGGAGGAATTTGATAACATGTATTTATCAAAACATTCCAAGCATAGTTTGGGAGGCTGAAGCGGGAGAATCGCTTGAACCCAGGAGGCAGAGCTTACAGTGAGCCAAGATCAAACCACTGCGCTCCAGCCTAGGTGACAGAGCAAGACTCTGTCTCAAAAATAAATAAAAATAAAAGTGAGGGGGAAAAAAGCAAATGGGACTTTAAAATTCTAGGTCTGAGATGAGAGGGACACAGTTTTGAAAACAAGAGTGAGGCTTTCCTGTGTCTTAAGGACTTCAAAACTTTAAATGCAACCCCGTGCAAATACAAAAGAATCTTTTCATAGCTTTAGAAACTTGGTTGCCTCTAATTCATAGGTACATATACATTTTAAAAAGCCAGTCTCATTTCTGGAAACAAAACATACCTGATACAAATAAAACTGTTGTGTTGCGAACATTAAATATCTTGCTTTGCTTTCTGTTTTTTATATTAGGCATTTGCACAAAAGAAGGAAGCGCTGTATTTGAATGCAAAGCTCTGTGAATCTTTTTTGTTTTTAGGGTTACTGAAAATTTAACACATTTTCAGTTGTGAAGATTTTAGCACTTCTAAATGTGTGATCATTCCTTTAATATGCCACCATTTTTTCCATTAATGATTTTAATCAATGAGAAGCGTTCTCCATCAGGTATAAATCTCTCTCCATCATATGGTATATACTGATAAATGATCCAACTGAAAATTCTGAACCAAAATTTTTTTAAAAGATTAAAGAAATGAAAATTTTTTTAAAAGATTAAAGAAATGAAAATTCTGAACAAAACAATGAAGAAGATTGGGAAGGCAGATGTGTTGCAAAGCGAGGCTCTCGGGAGAAGATGCAAATTAATCGCCCTCCATCCAAGAATACTTGTGGAGGCAAAATAATGAACCAACCTAATCACCTGGTGATTAAGCCAGGAAAAGTTGATGTAGTGAAGGTGACAAGTTTAGGTGTGAATTATTCAAAATGAATAATGTCATTATAACTTAAAATTATAAATGCCCAAATCAAATATACCTACAATTTTCTTAGAAACAGCCAAAATGGAAAAATATAGTTACTGTCTTAAAAATATTTTTATTTATTCTATTAAAATACCTGTCAACCAACTTCAAAGATCCACAAATAAAGTTTGTTCTGGTGTTGGCACTTCTATTCTGAGGCTA